TTAGCCGCTTCCTAAGTGTTTTACAACAGAAGAGAGCACAGTCACGGCTTTTTTTATTTGCTATTATTTTTTTATTTGCCCTTAAATTCAGGTTAGCTCAAATGGTTAGAGCGCGGCCGGATTGTGGTGTGCGGGAGGTCGACGGTTCGAGCCCTGGCCGGACCAATACTCATGGTCTTAAAATAAGTGAGGAGAATTTGCTACTTTTCTATAATCAAGAAATGGATAGATATTCTAGTCTCCTCGGATAAGGACGAATAAACCGTAGGCCCCGTCTCCTGCAGGGTTAGGGGTAGGAGACGTTAATTTCCCACGCACGAGATTACTGTGTGGTGGATGTCCTCCCCTGGGGTGGGATGGGTGGGTGTTGGCCCTGTAAAGCCCCTATGGGGAGTGGTCAATTAACCTATGTATGTATGTATGTATGTATGTATGTATGTATGTATGTAAATTCCACGCGCATTACTTTCAATCTCAACTTCAAAACAAAATTTATTTCCGAATCGAACAACAGTTTCGTCAGCATGCTCCATACTTCCATAAAACACGCCACAATAAGCCAACAAGTTTCCTTATTAAAATGGTTCAAAGAATCTGACTGGTTGAACAAGACTAAAGCTATCAAATATGTCAAACTATCAAAGTTTATAAACCATCGAATCTTACAACCTGCAATGGTTCACAGTCTGAAATTGTTCGGCAGGTCGAATTTAATACTTTTGCCTCAGGTTTTTCAGTCGTACTACAGAATCTGAAAGTGACATGTTCAGCGAAATCCACCGGGCAAACTTCCCGTGTGGCTCATAAAATCAAAGAAGTGTTGTCTTTTCACATGACAATTACAAAAAAACTTGTTCAAGCGTTTTATGAATAAACACAACTCGAATTCACAGGAATATGAAGATTGCTCGGGATGACATAGCTGTAAAACGCGGGTGCTGTCAGTGATGTGGCCTTTCACTCAACCTATCGGAAAGGATATCAGAGCAAGCTCTTAGTTCTTTATAACTCGAAGGGCGGACGATGTCATTTCTGAGGTTGGCTTCACTGCGATAACCGAAGATCGCCACAATAAGTAAGCCACAATAGACCTCAGCATGATCGAAGTCGCTCTGGCACCGTCATGATTTGTACTTTACATAATTTTAACAGTTATGTCAGTTTGGTATTGCTTTTCATCATTCCTGTTTTGTTCCCTCATGTTTTTAGCCGGACACGAAACTATAAATGCGACACGACTGTTAGTTGTGTTTTATTTTTATAACCGTTCGTAAGCTTGCATTTTAACTGAGCGTGAAAACCGGCTTTAAAACTCGCGCTGTCCATTTCGTTTTCTCTTTGAGCATTTTCGTCTCTGCTTGCGTTACAATAACGCCAGTTAAGGTGCTTGGCATGTTTGCAAACCTTTGTTTGGCTCTTCGGTTGCTATATGTCGGGTCGGTTGTTCCGAAATTTCACTTTCAATTAACAACGAAAAGCTGGAGAGAAGTCGGGGAAATGGTGGGACAAAAAGTGGTCGGACATACCACAAATGAGAACATGGCGTGTCATCTTAACGTCTTTCATCTTTCCATGTTTTGTACTCTAATAGCGCACGCACTTTCTAACAATGACAGCGCGTTATAGTCGAACTTTACTATAATTATTGATAATAGATCAACATTATCGAAGCTTGGTAGTAACTAAGCTGTTTTAGTGCCAAATATGTTGGAACGTAACTTTGGCGTTCTACTGGAGACTCTAAGGTAAATAAACTGCGTTCTATTGCACATAAGTAAAAAGTAGTTTGAATGCTTTTTTGAAGAATGATTGATAAACAGAATCGTTCCTAACTCCTGGGAAAGTTACCTAAAGAAATCCAGGAAGCAGTTGTCAATATTGTCTCTTTATATTAAGGGAACTCGATTATTTTCGGCGAGTGATATCTTACTTGACTGACATTTCTCAAAAAACACGTTTAAAGGATGAAAACAGTCTTCTTAAATGCAATTATTCGATTCATTAATCTTTCGGAACTTTCGCTAAGCTAAAGTTCTGAGGAATTTTCTTTTTTCTAAGAGAGTGTTAGTAATGTTAGGAAATCCCGCGTTTTCAACTTAGTGAGTTTTCTGTCTATTTCACTGAACGAATAGTGTGTTTTCTTGCCCGAGGTTAAAATTAAGGTATTTCATGATACATACGAACACAAAAATACTGCTCCGTTGTTGGAACCAAAATGGCATAATGATTGAGGACTTCGTCCTCGTAAATCGTTGAAGGTGAGTTAACTTGTGAAATCGAAATGGCGTAAACCTGTCTTAAATTCTCCTTCGCACTTAGTCACTAATTTAACACACTACATCGCGACTCACTGAATGCTCCAAACCTTCAAGCAGGTTTTGTTAAGCACGTAACGATGGTGTAGATTTAGGCCTGTTTGTATGGTACGGCTTTGACAAATGTTCTTGCCATTTGGTCTCATTAGCTCAAAATTTATTATACTTGCCCATCAAGTTCGGGATTGAAGAAAGAAAAAAACTCACAGGCTATGCTTTCTTGGATGATTACTACCGTTGAAAACGAAAATATCATACTTAAAGGAATTCGACGAACAAAATCGTAACCACGATTTCTCGAAATTTTGACATTTGAATTGTTTTTCAGTCCTAATCTTGCTCTGATTTAGCCGCATAACGTCTCCTGACCGTAAAGAAAACGATTTCTCTCAAATAGTTGTTGTTCTTGCTCTTTTTTTGTATTTTAGACCGCATATTTATTTGTCGGTCTAAGAGGTGTTACGCAAATGTTTAAGTTTGTTCAATGTTTTGTCCACTGCCATTTCCTGATGAGCAACTCACGAAAACCTTTCGCCCAGGAAATACAAGAAATCTTTCCATCATTTCTATTTCGAAATTAGCCCAGTTCAGGAAATTAATCGTGTTTTTCATTTCCCTTGGGAGAAGAGAGACTTTTGTTACATTGAGCGAGTGGTTGGTAAGTTCCATCGGCACTGACCCATGCAAGGAATAATTATTAAAGAGTTCTGTAAAGTTTACTTACCTTTTTAGATTGCACAGAATTAACTGTCAAAAAATAGGAAAGATGTGAAAGCCAGGATTGAAAACCTAACTTTTATTTCCGCTTTCAAATTAAAATGAAAGGTGCCTTGCTGGTTGTTTTGTCTATCGTCGGTCACGTGAGCCTGTCACGCGACCCAAACTGTCCACTCTCGTTAGTCTTAAGTTGGCCAACCATACATGTAATGAAGAGAACTTTAAGTACTGCCAAACATCAGGTTTTATGGAACTTTCTCTGAAATTAAAACGTGAATTCGCAATTAAAAGCCAACAGGAACTAGAACGTTGCTCGTGATACCCCAAGAAAATTAGCAACAATATACATTTCAGTGATTTAACCGTATTTTTGCGTCTTAAACTTCAGCATTCAGCGTTTATGTTTCAAATTCCGTTTTATTTTTTCCCTCTAAGATTGGCGCACTTATTTCAAAACTGAATTACATGGTTCTAGCTAATTCTTAACAAGTATTAATTTCAATTGAAGATCGATACCTCTCGGCATGCTATAACGCAAGACCAAAAGCTTTGGCAAAGAAGCATCCTCATATTTTCGCACTTTTTTGAAGCTCTACTTTGTTCAGTAGTTTGCAGAAACGTAGGAGTTTCAACAACTGTTTCCATAAGCGGCTGCCGATGGGGTAATAAGCATCTGTGCCCGGAAAGAGGGCCATAAGGCGAAACCCAAACACGAGAACCTGCTCGCAGGCTCATCAAACGGCGAGAAGGTCTTTTCGTACTTTATAGCTGGTGGAAGACCCCTGGTAACCGGTTTTTATTCAAACCCCTGGAAATTCTCAAAGTTTTTAGGCAGCATTCTGTGAACTGTTTTGACGCATTTTTTTAAGGAGATTTCAAGAAAAATGAGACATAATCACAGTGTACAAGCTCAGCTACCGTGACAAGGCAGTAATGATGGTGGAATACTTTTCCAGAAATATCTTGTTGTGATCGAAAAGGTTGTGATTTATGAATCAATCAAGTTTATTTTTAAACTAATTTTTTACATATTGATTCAATACGTGCTAAAGGGCAACTAGCAAATACTACATGGAGTAAATTTACTACTTCCAGGGTACAATGTATCCTTCCGTCTCCGAATGTACCGTAAGTCGTGAAATCCTTAAACCATTAGGCGTACATTTTCCAAGAAAACCCTAGAGTGAATTTGGAATTTATTTCACTGATTGTAGCACTTTCTTAAAAAATAAACTGTAACGGTTTTATTTCATTCCACACAATCACAATGCACTGATAGCCAACAGAAAAGGTAAGCGCGCAAAGTTTTGCATTTTAAAGTCACGTCGATGGGGATACATGTTATCATATGACAGGAGCCCATCACTTGCATATGACCACTAAGTGTAGACAATTTCAACCTACATAGGGCGCATTAAACAGTCACACGCAGCAACACGAGCACAAAAATCCTGCAATTAAACCTTTTCCTCTATTTTTTCAAGTTAGAAAAAGAAACTCCCAATTCCTTGAGTAACGCGACTTTTTTCCCCATTTCTGTTTTCCTTTAACTTTTTTCAACAAAACGACGTGAGGGCAGCAGGGCCGGAGGGCTTTTTCCGGACCGGCTCAGGACAACTGGTCCGGCCCTGCATACTTCAGCTTTCATTATGGTTTTCTATGGAGTTGCACGAGCGAGTCCGGACGGGTTATAGGATAAAATATGTCATTACATAACTTAGACACAACGAACGTTCTGATTGGTCAAAAATCTATTTCATATTTGCCTGTAAACCCATAGAAAACCTTACATCTTCCCTTCCTGTAAAATGGCACCACCCATGGCGAGATTCCAGACCAGTTTTAATTTGTTGAGGCCTTTGCTTTAAAGGAGACGAAGAGAACACTTTGAACGCATGAAATTAGGACAATATTTTAATTTTCCAACTTGATTAGATTTGTTATTTCAAATGCAGTGTAACTGACCGGTTGCTTGGTTTTAAGCTCTATTTTTCGCCGTGCGTTTAAAATGAACGAACCCCTCAGAAATTCTCCACTAAAATTACCTAAACCGTTCTCCAAGAGGGAAAAGCTGACATGTTTTCCCTACAATTTTGTTTTTGCTTCAAGAAAATATTAAGATATTTACTGAAAATCCCCTTTACTGGTGAGGACAAAAACCGACTGCACGTGCACGTAAGATTTTATGTGTAAGTGTGATCGGTCGGATGATGATTGCCTGAACAGCCTGAATTTTCGCAAGTCATGGTCAATAGCATTTTTGGACGAACCTCAGTACTCTGCAAATAAATATTCACCGTGAAAAATGCAATTTCTGAACGCTTTATATAAAATCATCTTGTTTGACCCTTTAACACTGCTCGGTCGATCTTTCTTCCCTGTCGATAGATGTTCACTGTACTTTCGTCAGTTTGATATCTGCACCAGCTGTTCGTCGACCCTTTTCAGCCGTATAACAGACACTTCTTTAACCTAAATCTTTTTCGTTTTCAACTGTTCTCAAACGAAGTATGCCTACCATATGGCATGTTCTCCTTCGCAACAATAGCTCGTCTTAGAGAAAGTAGCTTTTTGTTTTCCGTTACAGCACATTACTAACAGAATTGATAAGATGTCAAGCTCTCTAGATTTTATTCAGGAAACAGTCTCTCCTGACTCTCTGAATGCCGAAAACAGAAAATCCATGTTGGATTGACAGCAACGAGGCAGATTGAAAACTTCACTCAGATCCTTTTAATATACACTTCTCTTTGTTTCCCAACACTCATAGGATAAAGATGCTTGGACAACATGCAAAAGTAATCTTATCGTTAGTGATCTGTATTGTCCAACATTTTTCATCTACATTTAACCTTACGATCTCAACCGGTTGAAAGTTTTGATTTAGAATTTAAGGTAATGAAAAGAACTTTGAGACAAATACATCAATCAATAAGAAATTTAAAAATGCAATGTTGCAAGTCCTCTGCACCTTGTTTCTACAGTACGAAAATATATATCGAGTAATATAGAAACAGTTTGTCTAAGTGAAATACACAACTGAAGATCAAAATGTCTTGTACCCTAGCTAAATCAGCTTCTTGGGGTTATTTGTAAATCAAATCATTCACTCTTAATCTTTTTTAAGAAGCACCCTCCATCATATCTATCTACGACCTCTTTTAAAGAAGGTAAGGTCTCCTCCAAGGTAACTTTGCTCTTCATATAACAACGCCTGGATTCTTCCAACTCGCGTTTGATTCGTTTGCCTTCACGCACTATCTGAGCGGCGTTGTTGTAATACACATAAACCTTGCGCATGAAGAAAATGGAAAATAGAATAAAAGGACAAAATTTCCAAATTTCTGACATGGAAGATTCAGCTGGGGTATTATGTGTGCTTGTGTCTTGAACGTAAGCGCAGTAATACCAATCTACAGAAAGAAAAAAGAAGCATGGGAAAAAAAAGGAAAATGATTGCTATGGATAGCGACTGTGGTAAAAAGTGTCTAGAAATTTCTAGAATGCCTAGTTATACTGATTAGCATGCATGACTTTCTATGGATTTTCCTTGAAAATTCTGTAAGGCGTTGTTTTTTATGATGTAATAGTATCAAATAAAATAGTTGTATTGTAGGCTTCTGGAATGTTCTGGACTACTGTGAAAATATATATAAGGACTCGGTCGTGTGGTAGTAACTGGTTACTGATGTTGGGAGTGACCGACTGTTTGGA